GATATGGTTTCAAAATTATGCACATGACAATATATGACTACTAAATGCAGGCAGGGACTTTTAATTGCCAAAATGTCGAGTGACACCCTTGGGTGGGCCCAGAAAAAAAATTGGGCTCTAAACAAAATTTGGGCCAAAAATGGCCTCAAGGCCCCCAAAAAGTGGGCCTTTTTGGTCGTAACTGGGCCTTGGCCTTATTTTTTAATTTCAGGCCAAAATTAGAAGAAAATTGGCCTCAAAATTTCAAAATTTGGGCCCACTTTTGGGTTTTAGGGGCCCAAAATTTTTAATAATAATACGTGCTGATAAATGAATAAACATCCTAAAAACACTTACACTTGTGACCACTTTATCCACTTAAACAATTTGATAATTGATTAAATCTTTAAACAAAATCGATAAACACGTTATACACTTCCCATCTCCTTAGAAATTAGCATGTATTTATGGATTGTGTTTTCGAACAAGGCTCGACCCAGACCAATAGGGAAATCCTTATGCTAATTAGTATGACGTCATATTTTCCTAGGGAATCCTAGATTTCAAAGGCTCAGTCTGTTATTGTGTCAAATGTAAACGCTGTTTTGCAGACAGAAAATTGACAGATTAGGTTTTAACTTTCAGCTTTGATGTTTAAATATTCTGTATTTCTACCGGACTTCTTGCTGAATATCATATAATGTTATAACTTGATTTGGACCATTGCCTGATTGATCATTCTGAAATTTTGATTGTGATTCATGATTGATTGGCAAGAAAAATAATTCCTATTGTTTTCCAGCGAAGTCAAAATGTTACAGCATGAGTTATAATGTCGAGTTTGCAAATGCATCATGTTAAATTCTGCTAGTGATTAGAAGTCCATGCACAAGCATACACATACTGTAAGAGACAAACACACCCAGGCTCCAGGCCGTGGATGGAAATATAAAACTATTTAAGGCACAAACTGGTATTTAATAGACCGATATGTAGTGTCTGCCATGTATTGAAGGTAAACCAATCTGCATTATTAATGTTACTTCTATCAATACTTGGATTGTGCAATGGAAAAGCAATGGCACAATCAAAAATGTGCATATCTATCGTAAATATCTCTCGGTTCAAAGCTTATTTCCAACAGAATCGTGTCAAAATGTGTGTCTGAGTAACAGTTATACACTCACCTCCATAAGTTTGGCAACCTTTTTTCCCCATTGAACTACGTGTTACAGCCTCTTTACGTGTGAATTTTTATTTACTTAACCGGAGATGAAATAACTTATAATATTGATGGAAACGTAACTTGACTTTATTTCCAATACCTCCAAATTTTCTCAATTTTTTTCCTGAATTACAATAGGTCAAAAATTGATGATAAATTTGATGAATTTTTGAAAATCGTCATTCCCATGTAATCCAATGGGAAATGGAGGGTTCGGGGCAATACTTTAACTATTTAGTAGCTTTATAAATAGCCTAATTTCAGGTGTACTTTGTTGTAAAAGCTTATGTTATTGTTAACAGTAGTTATAAGTGATAATTTTGTAAAAAGAAATCAGCAAAAGCTCATAATCATAATTTTATTGTCAGCCATTTTGGATTTTTCCGCTCTAAAATCTTGTCTGTTTGATCTACCCAACAGTTCACCTGGAAATGCGTAGACAAGACTTTACAGACAAGATTTTAGGACAGAAAATCCAAAATGGCTGCCTTGACATTCACCCAAAATGCCCAAAAACTAATCAGATCTAGATTTTCATACTAAGAATCATCCCTGAAAATTTGAAATTGATCTACCAAACGGTTCACCTGAAAATGCGTAGACAAGACTTTACAGACAACATTTTAGGACGGAAAATCCAAAATGGCTGCCTTGACATTTACCCAGAATGCCCAAAAACTAATCAGTTCTAGATTTTCATACTAAGAATCATCCCTGAAAATTTGAAATTGATCAATTAAACAGTTCACCTGAAAATGCGTAGACAAGACTTTACAGACAAGATTTTAGAGCGGAAAAATCCAAAATGGCTGACAATAAAATTATGATTATGAGCTTTTGCTGATTTCTTTTTACAAAATTATCACTTATAACTACTGTTAACAATAACATAAGCTTTTACAACAAAGTACACCTGAAATTAGGCTATTTATAAAGCTACTAAATAGTTAAAGTATGAAAACTGAAAAACACCATTCAATAGGATACAAAGTATTATCGTACGCTAACTTTTCTTAAAACATTCAAAATGGCTGACATGACTGAGCTAATAGGTCCAAAACCTAATCAGATCTAGAATGAAGTGAGCTGAGATTTTAAAGTTTTAAAAGCAACTGTGAAGCCGTTTTTCTTAAAGTTTGCAGACAAGGATTTTAGCATTTGACTTCAAAATGGCCGACAGGAAGTAGGTATCGAGTTGATTTTTTTTCATCCTCATCTGTATGCACTCATAAGTTATCCCTGAAAATTTGAAGGTGATATCTGTAGCGGTTTTGGAGAAAACTGCCGGACGTACGGACAGACGGACCGACGACGGACAGACGGCGGACAGACAGACGGACGCGCCTAGGCCGACAATATGGCCCCACTATGTGGCGGGGACATAAAAAGCCTTAGGCCCATTTTTTCTGCCTCCCCCCTCCAAGATCCGCCAGTGATAATTGATCAAACCGGTGGAGATATTGGACGACTGTTTATGTTTAAGTTTATAAGTAAATTACGATTTATAGGCATGTTTGCCTGTTAATCGATCATTGCAAGGACCTCATTGTCCTTAGATGGTTACATAAAAAGTTAAAAGTTAAAATTCGAGACTAACAAATGACTAAGCAGTCTGGCAGAAAAAGAACAAATTAGGCTTCCCCAACTATGTACATAGCAATAATCAATGTTGTGGTCTAATTTCATTGGGTGATCCATCAAGTGTTTATCTAGCCTGTTTTTGAAAGTGTTGACATTGTCAGCCCTAATTACGAATTCAGGGAGTGCATTCCATTGTCTTATCACTCGCTGCGCTAAAGGCTAAAGGTATGTAAATAAAGTTGACAAAAAACTTGGTTTTTGCAAGTTTTGGAAACCTCGTTTTGAAACAAAAATGATGTCATTTATATTATGGGCACTGGGTGACAGACATTAGAAGAAATTTGAACTTTTAAAGATAAGGAAATTCCCTATCCACTGGTATTTAATACGTTTTCACCAAAAGATCAATATTTATTTTTGAAATACGAGTGTCTCATATTTTGGACCACCCTGTATATATATACATGGTGGTCCAAAAAATGGGACACTCGTATTTCAAAAATAGATTTTGATTTTCTTGATGAAAACATGTCATATTATATACCAGTGCCGTGGATAGGGAATTTACTGATCTTTTATTTGGTATATCATAAGTTCAAATTTATTATAATGTCTGTCAACCAGCGTCCATAATATAAATGACGTCATTTTCATTTCAAAACGGGTTTTCCAAAACTTGCAAAAACAAGTTTTACTGTCAACTCTATTTATATAAACAGACGTTCAATATGTCCATCATTTTGAGCAATTGTACCCCTCAATTTTGGTCTAAGCTGGCCAATAGCATCATTGATATGCTGTTTAAAAGACAATGAATTTCACTTCTCATTAATTCAATTCTGTCCTCAAGAGAATGAATAGATGTAAGGGATTCATGGTACACGAGATCTGTAAGTTCTCCCCATATGTGGTAGTCGCAAACATTGGGTGATGGTGTGATCTGGTCTGGGGGAGGCAGCAATTAGGGGATGAATCGAGGCACATTTTCCTTTAAACATTTGACACTCTTGTGAGATCCAGGGGCGGATCTGGGAACCAACAAGGGGGGGGGGGGCAAATTTCAGGTCAGAGAAAAAAACTTCCGGGAAACTTCCCTAAAACCCAAAAGTGGGCCCAAATTTTGAAATTTTGAGGCCCATTTTCTTCAAAATTTGGACTGAAATTAAAAAAAAAAGCCTTAAAAGGCCCAGTAGTTATGACCAAAAAGGTCTACTTTTTGGGGCCTTAAGGCCTTTTTTGACCCGGGCCTCCAGCCCCCCCCCCCCCCCCCCCCCCTAATCCGCCAGTGAGATCTATTGCTTGGAGCCCCAACTTGTTGGAAAATGTAATGATTCAAGAATGAGCTCATATCAGGATGGTCTAAAAACAACATAATTGGATAATGCGATGTCAACGTCTGCAACTACCACGTATTGGGAGAACCTACAGAATTGGTTTACCATGAACCCCTTACATCTACTCAGTCTCTTATTAAAGATAGACTTGTTGAGAAGTGGATCGAATTCATTGTCTAAACAGAATAGCAATGATGCTTTTGACCAGTTTAGGCCAAAATTTAGGGCTACTGATAATTGATCAAATGGTGGACATATTGAACGTCTGTTTGGGTAAATAAAGTTGACAAAAAACTTTTTTTTCAGATTTTGGAAAACCCGTTTTGAAACTAAAATGACGTAATTTATATAATGGACGCTGGTTGACAGACATTATAATAAATTTGAACTTATGATATACCAAATTATAGATAAGTGAATTCCCTATTCATTGGTATATAATATGACATGTTTTCATCAAGAAAATCAATATTTATTTTTGAAATACGAGAGTCCCATTTTTTGGACCACCCTGTAGTTAAGTTAAATGATTGACAGACAACCATGACCAATCATTTTCAGCTTTCGAATAGGACTAAATAGTCCCAGTTGAACACCCTGTATTTGATATATTGCTCTCCTCGGGAGTTACCGATTTAATTATGTTAATGTATATCCTATTTCAGCTAAATGTGGTCAATATGTGGGCTGCGGGTAATAATATGCATATTTGATTAACAGATTCATTCGGAAACAACACGAACGGTTGCCTTCATTCAGATCAAATATAATAGATATCCGTCTAATTAGTTTCTCATTTTTAGGTCACCGTGCCTTATTGGCCTTATTGATTCATGAAATCTGCACAGTGCTCACCAGTATCACATTGACAATGGAGACACGATAAGCAAGAAGTAGTGAACAGTGAGCTTGGGGAATTTATATAGTAACCCGAGAAACCTTATTCCAGAAAACGTGAATTGGACAAAGGTATCGAGGTGGCGAGGTGAACGTGTACGCGGTTGTAGGTGGGGACCATTCGAAGGGTGGAAATATGGGTAGACCTGGTAGACATGAACATAGAGCGAGCCATGGCAGAAATAGCAGCTTCCCAAGTAAGTTACTGGCATGACTATCAGTCGATGTATATAAACGTATTACAGTATTAGTTAGCATTTGGTTAGCCTTCGAAAGTATTCGCCTTCGGCTGGTGTTGTTAAAATTACACTCATATTCAGCTGCATGGATATAGCCCTACGTCTAGGACAACGTTTTTATGAGCAATAAAATTATCAGTCGGGGTCGTCACCCGGCGTCAAGTATCATAATCATGATAGTAAATTGTTAAGGGTCACCACACCTATGGTATAGTCTGGCATGTACAAAGCAAGAGCGCCCTAATTTACCTATACATTTTGACAGGCTTCAATTTGACAACACACGGTACTGGTGTATGGACGATGTCTTGCTCATATGTTCATTTGAAGGTGCTGACGAGACCTATATTGATCTGAGCGTTCGAGTGAGTCATTGTTATAGTATCACTGAAATGAAGAAGTCACTCTATATAGGTAAATCTGATAAAATTCTAGATAGTCCTTTGGCATATTATATCCCGGGGTTGTATGAGAAATATGGAAGAGCTGGCGTTAGGAAATTAAGAATGTGAGTGTCTTCTATTTAAAAAGACACGAAGTTGTGTATCATATGGTTCTGCCTCACAAGCCAATATTGACTTGGGGCCTCTTGAATGATTCTATGGAACATATTAGAGGCAACAAAATTCTTCAGAAAGGGCTCGGTTAGCCTAAAATCTCCTGTTTAAGAACTCCTATTCCAACCAGTTTAATACCAGTAACATCATTTTACTGGTTGAAACTCAATCATCCAGGCATTTTCTTCTTCTGATATATTAGGATCCCGGGATAAGGATATCATGATATCCCCTCTCCATGATGATAACTTGGGGATATGATATCTCCATGTTAAGTCAATGGTGCATATATCCATCCCCATGTTAGTCAATAGCACCCTTGCCAGAATCCTCATTTTCTCTGAAGGATATTAGTTGATTCTTTAAGCCTCAACCAATGTAAAATGTTACTGAGCATATTTAAAATCAATCCCTATTGGTTAGAATAGAGGTTCTTAACCACGCCTAGCCATCTACAACGTACAGTAACAGAATATACGGTAGTTCACTTTAGCTATACGTTGTCATGCTTGAAGCAAAAATTGTGATTCTGGAGCAGTCCTCGAATTTTTTTCCAGGCAATTCCACCAGATCTAATTCCACCCACATAATTGACCGGTTGGAAAATGTTCACATGAACATGGGTGGAATTACCTAGAAAAAACTCGTGCTCTGTTTGAGAATCTATGAACGTAATTAAAAAGTTTAAAGTCTTGCCAAGAGCACGCACATGGAATTAAACATGAAATAATTCATCATATTTCCTAGATAAATCTTTACAAATAAAACATACATCACCTATTTTTTTTATTCAAGCAGCTAAAGTGTACACCCGTATATTTTGTCACTGTACGTTGTCGATGGTTAGGCGTGTTAACAGGAAATTTCACCATGGTTTTCAAAGCTTTGGAACAAATTTGGAACATTATCTCTACATTAGCATTAGTAAAATGACTAGAGGTCACAGCTTTGCTGTACATTTTTACACTGCCAAAATTACAAGAGACGACAACTTTACTGTTGCTCATTCAATGGCTGGTTTGTGTTCTTTTTCCTTGAGGCCTGGATGATGGTTGTAAGCACGGACGAAACATTATTTTAAAGAAACGTAATCAAATAATTGAAAAGGGTAACCTGAAATGTTAAATTCCTTTGGTATTGGTACAACAATCAAAGTGTCTTTCTACCCATCGTATAATTAGATACGTACTGCCTTCGAAATAAAGCCTTTAATTTTACCTATGAAAATATCAAACGGGACAACGGATACTGACACTGATACTGAAATTTCTAGAAAATACAAACTAAACAATTATCAATACTTGAGGTATTTACCTATAAGTTATACAACTGATACTATACGTTATTGAATGATTTGAAGGGCAATACGGGATATATTCTGCTCCAGAAATTCCGGATTGGAACGAGACGAAGTCGAGTGGCAATACTGAATATCGAGAGCAGAATGTATCCTGTATTGCACTTCAAATCATTCTATAACGTTTTTGTCGTCTGATCCTCTGTATTGCTACTGAGAATGCCCCCCCCCGTACCAATATTTTCTGTACTGATGATCAATTGGGACAATCTAAATAGCAATACAGATTGGTACAGCACAAGAACTGACCAATCAGAAGGCTTTATTAATACAGATCATACGATAAATACACGTAATCACTTGTTTATATAACATTGCCGTTGGAAGGTGATCGCCCCTCCCCCTTTTCCCAGATCTTTTTAGGTTTCAAACCGAACCTAGAATTGGCATCCTCCGATCAAAGGGCTTCAAAATTCAGAATGTCTTCTTTCTTAAGCTCTAGAGCTAATTAAAGTCAAAGTGTAATAATGACAGAAATGATAATATGTCATTATCTAGTCTACATCAAGCATAGAAGATCTCATAATTTCCCAGGAACCCATACAGTATGTAAATACTGAAGAATAATGCAAAATGTATGTTCTAGTAAAATTCAAAGCTATTTAGTCAAAGTAAAGCTAGTTTTCTTAAAACACAAATTTTTCTTGTTTTTATTATTGGAAATGTTGTGCTGAGATATGTTCAGAATGCACCAGAGAGGGTGTAAAATTAAAAATGTTCTTGGGGCATATGCCCCACGATCCACGCTCCACGCACGATCCATCTACATCCAAAAATCGCCCCCGCCCCTGAATTTATATACATGTCAGGGTTGTCTCCGAAGTAAATAAACTCAAGTGATAATGAGAGATCAGTATTGAATAATGAATATATCGAAATCGTTATATCGTATTTAATCAAGAGTCATTGAGTGCTTTCTTCAAGTACACACTTCTAGTGGTGTGTATTCTCAGACAAAGTAAGATATGATCGCGCGATCGTTCTACTTGATGTGGACTTTTACATTTTCAGGAGATAGCTAGTTAATTACAAATTTCATGATCTATGAACAGTCTTCAGTCAAAGATCGTGTATTCGTATAGATATTATATGTTTTTGCAAAATTAAGCAATTAATGGATACATCACAAAATGTACAATCACACCCAACTTTTGAACTATATCTGTAGTATAATTTTTGAATAGACGAGATTCGATTCACGTCATTAAATATTCAAAATTCAGTCAAAAGTGATGTCATATTTGAAATCTACATGTAAAAATACATCTATAAATATGGTTTCGAAAATTGTTTATCAACTTTGAAAATTTAATCTTTTTTGAAAATGTGACTTCTAGTTCGGGTCGATTCCCCATAGGCCCCATATTGCAAAATCACAAAAAGTGAAATATCTTTTCTTGTATTGGACATATAACATTTTGTTTTACTGGACATACTTTAATTTGCATAACTATTCGATACACAAGGGCTATATGAAAACTGAACCACTAAAACAGATGTTATTTAAGTTAAAGGGAACTTTCTACTATACCCGCCATGCTATCTGACCCGAGCGAGCCACTTGGTGGTGAAACTGGTAACGACCTACTCGCATTTGCGTTATTATCGGGACACGAAAACCTTTTCCTCACAGTTGGTCCTTCTTGGTTCTCAAGGTTTCAGTCGGTCCAACTTTACCTGTTTGTTATAACCACCTTGGAAGTCTAAGGAGGATGTTGTTCCAAAGAAAACATTTCAGTGCAGGTGTACTTGAAAAATACTTTACTGTGATGTGACCTTCGAGAGAAGTGATTCCTTTTAGATTAAGTGGAAAACAATATTTCCCATGTTAATTTTCCATAGGGAAAACTCATGCGATCCATTACTTTCAGCTAATTTTGGTCACCCATAATGGATATCCTTTTAACCCCTTTAAAGAGGTTAACTGTGTGTTAAAACACAAAATATTGATGCAAGAAAAATTAAAAAAAGCAGGGGTGGAAGGAGTTGAAAATCAGGAAAACATATTAGAAAAACATGTGGGTGGGTTGTTTGCATCTTCCCTGTCTCGAAGTCGAAATTATTTTATCATTTCTAGGAGTGCTCTTCCTGGAGGTAATGCATTGGTTTAACACATGCACCTGTTTAAATCCTCAGAAAATAGCCAAATCCAACATATGACCATCCTTCTTCAAAGGACTTCATTTATGCCTAAATAATATATACTTGTAAAATACCCTTGCAGCAAGGATGACATATGACTGTCCGAAATCTGTTGCAATACTTTTCCTCCTCCTTTTTATAAAGTAGCCTCAGGGTAAAACGTGGTACAAAATATGAAAGAGATCGATAAAGTGAGTAATGACAAATTCAAAAATGCATGTAAAAACAATGTCAGAGCTGCGCAATGAAACCTTCATAGCGTTTGTGCTATCAGGTGATGGTACCTGTCAATTAGTTTTAGTTTGTCTATGTGTCAGATCTTTCAATGTTCTCTGTAAATTATTGTCTGGCCCAGGGTGAAAGGATGGGGGTGGAAGATGAATCGTAAAGAAATTAAGGGCAAGAGTAATTGGAGTAATTAAACTGAAACATACATAATCATGTCATGGGAGACGATATCATTGGGAGAAATACACTAAAAGCATTTCGGCTTGAAAAAACGGCTTCTATCACACTGAAATAGGAGACTTTTTCAGTTGATATTGGATATTTTTTGCATGCTGCTTTTTAATTTGATAATCAAAAAAAAATTCTAAGAACTCAGCCGATCTATTGCTGAGAAAATACTTGGGTGACTTTTCCGTTCATATTGGATACAGTATTTTACATGCTGTTTTTAATTTGACAATACTATTATCCCAGATGCGAGTAGAAATAATCTTGATTTACGTCATTAAAAATTCACAATTCAGTCAAACTGATGTCATATTTGGAATCTACATGTAAAATTACATTTAGAAATGTGGTTTTGAAAGGAGTTTATCAACTTTAAAAATTTAATTTTCTTTGAAAATGTGACTTCTAGGTCGGGGAGATTCCCCATAGACCCTATGTAGTAAAAC